GTGTCAGGCTCTCAGCAGGGATGGTGCTGTGAGAGGCAGCCAAGGTTGAGCCATCCTCTTCCAAATGCTGTTTCCTGCTGGGATTCTGCTTGTGGGAAAGGGAGATTCCTCCCAGAGAGATGTGCTTGCAGTGCCATGCACGTTGCTGCTCCTGGATCCATCCTCTCCCTTTGGATGTTCATTGCTAAACAAACTCTTGCTGGTTTTATGAAGTGCCCAAAGGCTGAATTAAGGCCAGGATCGAGTATAATTCAGTTAAAAGCAGGAATGTGTGGAGCAATGAAGCTGCAAACCTTTATGTGTGCAGTAAAAAGTGGGAAACAGGAGCAGAGCTGGGCCAGCAGCAAAATCCTGGGAGAGGTCTGGTGTCAGCATCCAGGGAATTCCCAGGCTTCCTCATCAACTCTGATTGCTCTGATATTTCAGAGATGTGGGATAAGAGGAGCTAGAAAAGCCCGTGGTACCCAGGTCTCTGTGGATATTTAGATCCTGGATAAAAAAATGCAAAAATGCCATGATGGGAATGACTCTGCTCTGAGTTGGCAGCATTTAAACCCAAATTGTTCACTGGGGAGACCTGAGAGAATCCTGCTTTTTTCTGGGACCCTCCAGGGTAGAAACATTCCTTCCTTCAGCCCCAAGGAATTCCCTATGGCTGGCTGGCCACAGCCTCTGTGCTCCCTGAAAAGGCTCCACGCTCCTGGCAGCATTTCCAGCACGTTTGGGCAGCTGCTCCCTGAGGAATCAGCCCCAGAGCCAAGGGCTGGGCAGGAGGGGGCTGGGAGCCTATTAATATCCCATTTTTATAGGGAACTGAATGGCCAGCAGGGAATAATTGCCTCTTTCCCAGCTCAAGAACCACCAGTTGGGCCTTTGTGCTCTTTGAAATCTCTGGATCTCAGCAAACAGCTCTGCTTCCCCATGGGGCTGGGAGCAGGAATGATCCCTGCTCCCACACATCCCCCTGGGGCTCCCCTTCATTAAAACCCTCGGGAATGCTGAGCCATGTGCCAGCCCTTCCTACACACCCCATAAAACCCACAAGCAATTACAGCCACGCATGGGGATCCGTGCTGGGAGAGCACAGAGAAAGCAGCAACAGCAGCTCTGTGTGAATCCACACTCNTATATCTATATATCTATATCTATTTTATGTATAGATTTATTTTATATATTTATGTCTTTATATTTGATGAATTTTATATTTCTATTTATAAATTTTCCACAGAAATTTCCCCATCACAGAAAGGGATGCAGAAGTCCAGGTGACACTGAATCAGATCCGTGTATAATAATTTTTCCCCCCCTCATTTGCATCTCCAGAAACTGGACAGCAATTATTTCTAAAGCAAACAATCACATGAAAATGGAAACGAATTTAGAAGATTTCCAGAAGCTCTAGGCCATTATTTTTTCAGCCTTTATGCCATGTTTTAGTTGTTCACATCCCAGTTTCAATGCCCTGCCAGGGAAAATAATCATGAATAATTACATGGGGTGACTGAACAACTGATTCATCTCCCGCTGTAGAATAATCTGAGACTCGGATCAGCTGGGAACAAAGAATTTGCTAATCCCACAATTTCCCTTCCAGACAAATTACTTACATTTAAAAAGCAAAAAGGGGTGTGGGGAGAATCTCTCTACATCAAATGGGTCCTTTTAAAAAGTCTCAATACACAAAAACCTCCTTCCAGAATTTCACCTGTCCTGTGTGACAATATTTGAGAAAATCCAAATGAAACCAGAGCCAAGCCTCAGCTCTTGTGTTTCTGGAATTTCTCACGGCATTTTCCTTCTTTGTGTGTCAGTTTTACCCAAGAAAATCACACAAGGAGTGCCTGTGGCAGATGTGAACGCCCTTTTCTCCTGGAATCAGCCACTCACCCACATTCCCAAAGAAAGAATTTGGGCCACCGTGTTTATCACTAAAGCCTGGGGGCAACTGCCACGCTGGTTTTATAGAGCAGGATGCTGGAAGATTTAAATATATTTTGCTATTAAGGAAGATTTTTTTCAAGGAGGGAAAAGCAGCATCTGCCTGGATCCACTTCACCTACGTGTCTGGAATGTGCAGGCAGAGAGGTTATTTGGTGGAAACATCACATGAAAGCTTCTCAGACAGACATTTGCAGTCATCTGCCGTGCCACGGCTGCCCCTGCTCCCCTCTCCACCTGCCTGGGGCTGTGGGGGAGGAAATTTCCACTCACAGCTTGTGCTGGTGCCCATTTGCAGGTGCTGGAAGGTTCAGAACCTCTGCTCTGCCAGCTCCAGCTCCAGAGCACAGGGAGGAGAGCACAGGGAGGAGAGGACANACTCCATTGGTAGATCAGAGAGGAATGAAATTCCTCGGTGGAATCACAGACTTGCTGCTCCTCCTCAAGTCCTAAATTTGTGTGAATTCAGCCATCCAGTGACTTTTTTCCTTACTGAGAATCAGTCTTAAATTTGTGTGAATTCAGCCATTCAGTTCAGTCCTAGATTTGTTTGAATTCAGCCATCCACTAACTTTTTTCCTAACTGAAAATCAGTCCTAAATTTGTGTGAATTCAGCCATTCAGTGATTTTTCTTCTTACTGAGAATCAGTCCTAGATTTGTGTGAATTCAGCCATTCAGTGACTTTTTTCCTTACTGAGAATAATTCCTAAATTTGTGTGAATTCAGCCATTCAGTTCAGTCCTAGATTTGTGTGAATTCAGCCATCCAGTGACTTTTTCCTTCCTGAGAATCAGTCCTAAATTTGTGTGAATTCAGCCATTCAGTGAATTCTTTTCTTACTGAGAATCATCCCTAAATTTGTGTGAATTCAGCCATTCAGTTCAGTCCTAGATTTGTGTGAATTCAGCCATCCAGTGATTTTTTTTCCTTACTGAAAATCAGTCCTAAATTTGTGTGAATTCAGCCATCCAGTGACTTTTTCCTCACTGAGAATCATTCCTAAATTTGTGTGAATTCAGCCATTCAGTTCAGTCCTAAATTTGTGTGAATTCAGCCATCCAGTGACTTTTTCCTCACTGAGAATCATTCCTAAATTTGTGTGAATTCAGCCATTCAGTGAATTCTTTTCTTACTGAGAATCATTCCTAAATTTGTGTGAATTCAGCCATTCTGTGACTTTTTTTCTCCTCTCCCCATTCACTCTCTGGAACACGTCCTAAAGGTGCAAAACTTATTATTCAGCACAAACACAACGAGATGATTGGGGATAAAAGCATCCTATAGTCAACCCAGGACATTTACTGAGAATTAATCCTAAATTTGTGTGAATTCAGTCATTCAGTGATTTTTCCTTACTGAGAATCAGTCCTAAATTTGTGTGAATTCAGCCATTCAGTTCAGTCCTAGATTTGTGTGAATTCAGCCATCCAGTGACTTTTTCCTTACTGAAAATCAGTCCTAGATTTGTGTGAATTCAGCCATCCACTAACTTTTTTCCTTCCTGAGAATCAGTCCTAAATTTGTGTGAATTCAGCCATTCAGTTCAGTCCTAAATTTGTGAGAATTCAGCCATTCAGTGAATTCTTTTCTTACTGAGAATCAGTCCTAAATTTGTGTGAATTCAGTCATTCAGTGAATTCTTTTCTTACTGAGAATAATTTCTAGATTTGTGTGAATTCAGCCATCCAGTGACTCTTTTCCTCACTGAGAATCACTCTGGCTGGAATGGCTTCTCCAGACATTTCACATTCCTGAGGCTCTTCCTGCTGGCTGTGACAGGAACAGGGATCCCTGTGCCAAGTGACCTTCAGCTGGGGAATTCTGTGGGGGAACATTCACCAGGAGTGATGTCAGACACTGACACCACAGCTTGAATTATTTTCAGCTCCATCCAGGCGCCTGGGAATGGCCATCAATCCAACAAATGTCACTGGAGATGGGCACAAGTGCACCCCCTTCTTGTGCCAGCCACCAAGGGGTGGTTATCATGAAAGAAAAGTATTCATTTCTCATAAAAATTGGAATAAAATTATTCTTCCTCACTCTACTGACCTCCTGGGGCTACTCAGAGCATTCACTGCTTTGGGTTCAGAGCAAAGCTGAGGATTGTGAATGAAATTTCACCAGAGGAGAGGGAACAGAGTCCAGCTGGGAGAGCTGTGCCAAGCCTAGGAGGGAAAACCTTCCCTTGGGATGCCAGGAAAGGCTTTGGAGTGGGCAGCTCCCTTGGGAAGAGGCTCCTGGGGAGGTTGTGCAGCTCTCCTTGGCAAAGCTGGGAGGATCCTGCTGGAAATTCAGCTGGGATCTGGAACTGGGAATAAACACAGAGCCTCAGGCTCCTGCTCTCCTGGCCTGCCCTTTCCACATTACGATATCCACCAGCTCCAAAGTGGATGCTCGCTGGATGTGCTCTGACATCAGCCACAAAACATTGTAAGGAACATTTTCTGCCAGGGAAAAACAAAAGAAACTCTCCCAGTTATTCCATTCCAATGCTCTGAGGAGCATTCAGAGTGCACACGTCCATGGCAGAGCTGGAATTTCCTCCCAGCTGTCACTGGGAAAATGTGCCTGGGGAGGATGGCATGAATGAGCTGCTCAGAGCTTGCCTGTGGAGGTCAATAAATTCACCCCAAGGGTTGGGAATTTCACACATGGAGTCGTGGAATGGTTTGGGTTGGAAGGGACAGAGGATCAGCCAGTCCCCACCCCTGCCATGGGCAGGGTCACTTTGTGCTGTCCCAGGTTGCTCCAACCTGATTTTGGACATTTCCAGGGATCCAGGAACAGCCACAGCTTCTCTGGACAACCTCTCAGGGAAGGATTTATTCCTTATATTTAACTTAAATTTCCCCCTCTATCAGCTAGAACTTGTGTTGAATTTCACTCATATTTTCAGCTGACATCTCCCAGCTCCACCCTGGCAATTAAGACCTGGAGTTTCTGCATTTTCCAGGTCACAAATCCAAAACAGATCCTGAGGAAGGTCCTTCCCCACTCCTTTCCTTGCCCTTGCTGTGTGTCCTGTCCCTGTCAAGGCTCTGCTCTCCCTCCTTGCAGACAGCCCTTCGGCTCCAGTAAATGTCACAGTCAAACACCTGAAAGCCAACTCGGCCGTGGTCACCTGGGATGTCCTGGAAGACGAAGTTGTCATTGGATTTGCAATTTCCCAGCAGGTACCGTGCTAGAATCACCCACTTTCCAGCCATGTCCATCTCCCCCCCAGGTGGTTCCCAAATCCTGTTGCTGCACTTTAAGCCCATTCCTCTCGTCCTGTCCCTCGTGGTCCTGTCGGGGATTTGGCTCCCCCATCCCCTTTGCAGCGGTGGCTGCAGAGAGGGAAGGATCCTGATGGTTCCTCCACACCCACGTTGGTGGGCAGGGCAGCAATCAGTGGCCTTAGGTGACAACAAATGCACGTGGAGAAGCCTCTCCACCACTCTGTGCTCTCCTCTCTCGGCTTCCAGAAGAAGGACGTGCGGATGCTGCGCTTCATCCAGGAGGTGAACACCACCACCCGCTCCTGTGCCCTCTGGGACCTAGAGGAGGACACTGAGTACATTGTGCATGTCCAGGCCATCAGCATCCAAGGCCAGAGCCCTGCCAGTGAGCCAGTCCTCTTCAAGACCCCCAGGGAAGCTGAGAAACTAGCCTCTAAAAATAAAGGCAAGTGTGGGTGAGTTCCTACGTGGCCCCTGGGGACACAGGGCTCTGCAGAGAGGAAGCAGGATCCTGTGTGCTGAGAGGAGTTGGGAGAATAAACAGGTGATAAATAGATAAACCCTGTGAGATAAACACTCATGGGGGTGAGTGTCCTCTCAGGATGTGCTGAGGGGACACAAGGTGCCAGGGAGGTGCTGCTGGAGGTGGCTGCTCCTTCTCCTGTCTCAGAGGGGATTTAACAAAGTGAGAAAGAGGAGATTTGCAGCTCTGTGTCCTGCTCCCTACAAGNGTCACTGGGTGAGAGAAGGACCAGAATCTTGTTCCTTGATCAGAAGGCTGGATTTATTGATATATAATATATCATACATTATAGGGACATCCGCCTTGTACCTTATCCCTATAGCCATGGAAGGCAATATTGTGTTAAACCCTACTGTTGGTCACTTATGGTCACTCTAACACCTTTGCCATTGGTCAGGATTGGATCCAGGCCAAGGGTATAAAGTAGCATACTGTACCCCTGCTAACTGGGAACAAGAAGAGCTGAGACCCTTCAGGGACCCTCCAATAAAGCCATACTCGTGGAACAGCCAGCGTCTTCTGCTTCTCCTCTCTCTACCCTCTGCTGGAGCCTTAGGCCAAGGGAAAGCTACCTAGCAAGCAAAGCTGAAATCACAAGAGCTGCCTGATCACTAAGAGCTGAATATTCCCTGCTTGCTAGGGGCTGACCCGTGGCCTTGGTCTGAGAGCGAGCTGGCTTCTAGCACCCAGTGCCCTTGGGGCTGAGCTCTGGAGCTGGAACAGCTTGCACAGGATACGACCAAGCAAAGCTCATTTACTGCTCAAAATCCTCCCCTGGCAGGGAACACCCTCCACACCCACGGCTCTGCTGATGGGCACGGCAGCGCTGCGCTCCCGCCTCCAGCATCCTGCGTGGCCGCCAGAAATCAGATTTCCAGCCACGTTTCTGGATGATCTGAGCGTCTCTGGAGGGAAAAAAAAAATGAGTTCCTCGGGTCCTCCCACAGCAGCACGTGGCAAAGAGGACACTGCTGCTGTAATTAACTGCAGAGTTAATCAGCGGGAGCAAAGATGGTAACACAATGTCGGAGTGTAAATAGGTCAAGCCTTTAATTTATCCCAACTTATTTCAATTAATGGAACTTCCTCCTCGTGTTTCTGTTCATATTCCCACCATATTTGTTTAGTATTTTAAATAGTTCGCTGATATGATGGTTCAGAAGCAGTGATGAGCCCCACAAGCCTCAAAACCTCAACTCTGACCCTTTTTCATCACCACAAAGGTGTGGGAAGGAGAATTTTCACAAAACACAACCTGCAGGCCGCGCTGAGCTCCGATGTGATTTTTCCCTTGTACACATTTGTTTTTTTTCCTTTGTTTCCTCTCCTAGTTTCCAAAAAACAAGCCCTCAGTGAACATCATTGAAGCATGACAGCCTGACACCTGAGGGATGGACTCCATGCCTCACTCTCACTCTGAGCCGTGCTGACCGGGGAGGTGAAACATTGGCGGAGCGATTTGCAAAACAAGACCTCGTCATTGTCACTTGCTGGCATCCACCTCCTCATCCCTGTTTCTGCAAAACACCTGGCCAGGAAGGGAAATCCTGAAAAAAAAAAAAAAAAAAACCAAAAAAACCAAANGTGGAACTCACAGCACCTCCTGGGCTTGGGTTTCAGGGAAAAAAAACACCCAGAGGATCCCACTTTTCTTACATTTTCAATATTTCTGCCAAATCACAGAGAGATGAGCTTGGAAGGGACCTCCCCCAGGCAGGGTCAAGCAGAGCAGGTTGTCCAGGATCACATCCAGCTGGGTTTTCAAAATCTCCAGGGAGAAAATCAGGCACTTCCTCACTGGCAACTCCTTCATTTGTTCCTTTTTAACCAAACCAGGCTCTTGAGGGTTTTCAATCAGCAAAAATCTGTTCCAAAGAGGGCCTGGAAGGGTTGTGGGGACACCCAGGTCCCCCCTGCCTGCTGAGGGCCCAGCCTGTTCCAGGGCTTTTGGCCGTGCTTCTGAGGATGTGAGTCCTTGACTCTCTTTATTAAACTGCTTTGGAGGCTGTAAATCCTGAATTGCTGTTTATCTGGGAGCACTAAGAGGAGCACTGCTCCTTTCCTGGGGGCCTGGACTGTAATCTCCTTAATGCTTTGAAGCCAAGGAGGGGAATTATGCCCTGCAAAAAAGGCTCTGCTCCTTTCTGAATCCCAGAACTCAGCTGAAAAATGTCCTGCCAGGCTCTCCATCTCCTGAGCTGGAGCATGCCAGGCTTTGGGACAGGGGCAGATGGCACTAAAAAGGACAAGGACAGCAGAGAGAGCAGCCATGGGGACACAAAACACTGCCCCGTCTCCTCAGGGTGTGACAGCATAAATCCTGCAATCCCAGCCTGGTTTGGGTTGGAAGGGACACAAAGCTCATCCTGTGCCACCCCTGTCATGGGCAGGGACATTTCCACTATGCCAGGGTGGCTCCAAGCTGGCCTTGGATACTTACAGGGATGGAGCAGCCACAGCTTCTCTGGGAAATCCATTCCAGCTCCTTTCACAGGGGAATATTCCTTCCTAAACCCAGTCCAAGGAGTGCCAGAACTCTGCTCCTGCCACGCTGCCCGGGCTCAGGCTTTGTGTCTCACTGGTGTCTCTTTGCCCTTGTGCAGATGAGGTGACAATGAAGGAGATGGCGAAGAAAAACCAGCAGCTGCGAGCGGGGGAAGTTCTCATCATTGTTGTGGTGTTGTTCATGTGGGCAGGTCAGTCCCAGCTTTCTCACATTGAATATCCACAGGATATCCTCAGGAATGCCTGGCTGCACGTGGAACCATGGAAGAAACCTTTCCTCACACACAAAAACCAGAATTCCCAGCTCTAAGGGCACCTCAAGTTGGGTTTTGCAGCTCCAGTTGGGTCCACCAAGAAGCAGGAAATGGATTTGATGGAAGCAATTCCCTATGGATAATCCTGTAATCTCATTTTTTTTCCAGACTGCCCTGATTATGATGCTCTCAGCCACAGAATCATGGAATGGTTTGGGTAGGAAGGGACATAAAGATCATTTTGTTCCACCCAACCTTCCACCAGAGCAGGTTGCTCCTGGAACATTTCCAGGGATCCAAATTCCAACAAGACATGCCTTGAGTTCTTCAGATATTACAGGTTGCATTAATTTTCTGGATATTATAAAACTCCAATGCTCAGGCAAAATAGAGATTTAAGAGTCTTGCTCTCCACACCCACTATTTATATTTATATTTATATTTATATTTATATTTATATTTATATTTATATTTATATTTATATTTATATTTATATTTATATTTATATTATTTATNTCAGTTCAGTCCTAAATTTGTGAGAATTCAGCCATCCAGTGACCTTTTCCTCACTGATAATCAGTCCTAGATTTGTGTGAATTCAGCCATTCAGTGAATTCTTTTCTTACTGAGAATCAGTCCTAAATTTGTGTGAATTCAGCCATCCACTAACTTTTTTCCTTCCTGAGAATCAGTCCTAAATTTGTGTGAATTCAGCCATTCTGTGACTTTTTTTCTTCCCCCCTTCACTCTCTGGAACACGTCCTAAAGGTGCAAAACTTATTATTCAGCACAATCAGAACTAGATGATTTGAGATAAAAGCATCATATAGTCAACCCAGGACATTTACTGAGAATCAGCCCTAAATTTGTGTGAATTCAGCCATACAGTGAATTCTTTTCTTACTGAGAATCATTCCTAAGTTTGTGTGAATTCAGCCATCCAGTGACTTTTTCCTCACTGATAATCAGTCCTAGATTTGTGTGAATTCAGCCATTCAGTGAATTCTTTTCTTACTGAGAATCAGTCCTAGATTTGTGTGAATTCAGCCATTCAGTGATTTTTTTTTCCTTACTGAGAATCAGTCCTAGATTTGTGTGAATTCAGCCATTCAGTGAATTCTTTTCTTACTGAGAATCAGTCCTAGATTTGTGTGAATTCAGCCATTCAGTGAATTCTTTTCTTACTGAGAATCAGTCCTAAATTTGTGAGAATTCAGCCATTCAGTGACTTTTTTCTTTACTGAAAATCAGTCCTAAATTTGTGTGAATTCAGCCATCCAGTGACTTTTTCCTCACTGAGAATCAGTCCTAAATTTGTGTGAATTCAGCCATCCACTAACTTTTTTCCTTACTGAAAATCAGTCCTAAATTTTTGTGAATTCAGCCATTCAGTTCAGTCCTAAATTTGTGTGAATTCAGCCATCCAGTGACTTTTTCCTTACTGATAATCAGTCCTAAATTTTTGTGAATTCAGCCAGTGATTTTTTTTTTCCTTACTGAAAATCAGTCTTAAATTTGTGTGAATTCAGCCATTCAGTGAATTCTTTTCTTACTGAGAATCAGTCCTAAATTTGTGAGAATTCAGCCATTCAGTGATTTTTCCTCACTGATAATCAGTCCTAAATTTGTGTGAATTCAGCCATTCAGTTCAGTCCTAAATTTGTGTGAATTCAGCCATTCAGTGATTTTTCCTCACTGATAATCAGTCCTAGATTTGTGTGAATTCAGCCATCCAGTGACTTTTTTCCTCACTGAGAATCACTCTGGCTGGAATGGCTTCTCCAGACATTTCACATTCCTGAGGCTCTTCCTGCTGGCTGTGACAGGAACAGGGATCNAGAGGACAGGGAGGAGAGGACAGGGAAGAGAGGACAGGGAGCAGAAGACAGAACAGAGGACAGGGAGGAGAGGACAAGTAGGACAAAAGGAGGAGAGGACAGGGAACAGAGGACAAGGAAGAGAGGACAGGGAGAAGAGGACAAGGAGAAGAGGACAGGGAAGAGAGGACAAGGAGGAGAGGACAAGGAGGAGAGGACAGGGAGGAGAGGACAAGGAGGAGAGGACAGGGAGCAGAGGACAAGGAGGACAAAAGGAGGAGAGGACAGGGAAGAGAGGACAAGGAGCAAAGGACAAGTAGGAGAGGATAGGGAGGAGAGGACAAGGAGGAGAGGACAAGGAGCAGAGGACACATTTTCACCAAGCAGAAATTCCAGGAGCTCCTCCAATGCTCACTGAACATCAGGAGCAGAGGACAGGGAGCAAAGGACAAGGAGGAGAGGACAGGGAGGACAAAAGGAGGAGAGGACAGGGAGAAGAGGACAGGGAGGACAAAAGGAGCAGAGGACAGGGAACAGAGGACAAAAGGAGGAGAGGACAGGGAGGAGAGGACAAGGAGCAGAGGACACATTTTCACCAAGCAGAAATTCCAGGAGCTCCTCCAATGCTCACTGAACACCAGGAGCAAAGGACAGGGAGCAGAGGACAAGGAACAGAGGACAGGAAACAGACAACAAGGAGAAGAGGACAGGGAACAGAGAACAAGGAGCAAAGGACAAGGAGGAGAGGACAGGGAGGAGAGGACAGGGAGGACAAGGAACAGAGGACAGGGAACAGTGGACAAGGAGCAGAGGACAAGGAGCACAGGATGGAGCAGAGGACAAGTAGGAGAGGATAGGGAGAAGAGGACAGGGAGGAGAGGACAAGGAGCAGAGAACACATTTTCACCAGGCAGAAATTCCAGGAGCTCCTCCAATGCTCACTGAACATCAGGAGCAAAGGACATGGAGCAAAGGACAAGGAGAAGAGGACAAGGAACAGAGGACAAGAAGGAGAGGACAAGGAGAAGAGGACAGGGAACAGTGGACAAGGAGCAGAGGACACACTTTCACCAGGCAGAAATTCCAGGAGCTCCTCCAATGCTCACTGAACATCAGGAGCAGAGGACAGGGAGCAGAGGACAAGGAACAGAGGACAAGAAGGAGAGGACAAGGAGAAGAGGACAAGGAGGACAAAAGGAGGAGAGGACAGGGAACAGAGGACAAGGAGAAGAGGACAGGGAGGAGAGGACAGGGAGGAGAGGACAGGGAACAGTGGACAAGGAGCAGAGGACACATTTTCAGCAGGCAGAAATTCCAGCAGCTCCTCCAGTGCTCACTGAACCAC